CGCATCACTAGGTTTTGATGAAGAATCCTTCTGATTGCTATCTCTTCCTTGTCTAACAGAATTTCGCTTTTCCTCAATTTCACCAGTTTTGTCGTCTCCTATTTCTTCGATTTTCTCGGATTCTTCGCTTTTCTTCTTGTTGGATTTCAACAGTGCTTCTGGTTCTACGTGGAAGGGGCACTTGGTCTGAAGCACAAACATCATCTGCCTTCAATTAATCTATCACCTACCGTGTCCACAACACCGCCATTCTCCTCAACTTTTTTGACAATCTGACTCCAATACTTGGCTTCACTCAATCCGATTGAATTTCCAATGATAATCGTTGCTTGGCGGGCTCTGGACATTGCAACATTCAATCGATTGCTCAGCTGCATGAACTCAGAAATTCGTTCATTTGTACAGCAAAGGATGATGACTTCTCGTTCGGATCCTTGGAATGCGTCGACGGTTCCACAATTGACACCAGTGCCACGGAATGAGTCGGACAGAACTGGGAAACAGAATTTTAGGGTTTCAGCTGAAATTTGAAATAACTAAACCTGAAGTTTGTCCAGCATAAAAAGAAATGACACCAATATCCGATGGCTTTAATTGGTATCCATTTTCCTCTTTCAACAATTCTTTCACAATTTGTTTCGCCAAGATTTTCTCAGTTCGATTTCCACAAGAAGTTCCAATTTTATAAGCCTTATCTCGATTGTGAACCACAATAATTGGATAATGTGGATTCGGCCAAAAGTCCTGACGTCTTCTCATGAATTCGTTTCTCTGTATCTCTTCAACTCCAGAAATCAGATTTCCATCGTAGAAGAGTTCACTCAGGAGTTCGGTGATTTTCGGATGACAGCGGTAGACGTATCGAAGGATAGCCTCTGGAAACATCTTCTCTTCAATCGCTCGTTCCATTGTGTTTCCGATACCGTACTCCTGAAAAATTGTATTTCCATTTTTATGTGTTTGAAGAACTGCGCCAAATTTGAAAATTCGGGTGTCTCCCCAACCAACATAGCTCTCACAGCCTTTACCTTGAGTTTTCCCTTCAACTCGTCCTCACAATATGGTGGCAACTGTTTGATATCTCCAATTAATCCATAATTGGCGTTCGGGAACAATCGGAGGAGACTGATCAATGTGCATTCCGGAAGTTGGCATGCTTCATCGATTTGAATCATTACAACATTGAAATAGACAGAACAATTCATCATAGATTGCAAAGTGTCTGCAGTGATTACTATGACATTTGGCTTGTAGAACCTGAGCAGAATCTCAAAGGCTTCTCGATTACGACGTTGGATTGGGTAGTCCTCGACGTCACTTTTGTAGTTACTGTGGAAAGTTTTCAATGGGCTACTCAGCAGGTCCTCCATAAACTCTTTTTTCGAAATGAGATACGCCAGAATGATCATTTTCTCAGTGATGCTTGTAGACTCTCGATTTCCAATCTCTCCATGAGCCAATTGTTTGAAAATTGCGCTCATAAGCACAGGAAGATCGTATTCGGTACGACAGTGCTCTGGGAGCTCTTTCCAATTCGATTCGGTGACATATCTCATAATTTTCATTTTGGATTTTTTGACTTTCCGAGCGATATCAATCAAGTTAACACTTGCATAGTTGCTTTCAGTGATAAGAAACTGCTGACTGGATTCATGGCGTTTACATTTCTCAATAGCAGCCATCACAATTGTCATTGACTTTCCACAGCCAAATGGGGAGCTTCCAAGAAGCATTGGATAATAAGATGACGTCATCATGGAGACATACTGGTTTTGGAATTCGTTTAGAGAAGTTGGAGGGTCACTTGGAAAGATGCAATGGGGTGCTGGACCTGGAAAAATGAACTTTGGGGTAATTAGTTTGTTTCTATGACTGTTGTTACCTAAAATCGATAAATCTCTCTTCAACGAAACTCCTCCATACAATGCCTCAATGATTTGACGTCCCTTTCGAGAAGAATGCAGTTTCCGAAGGTATCCATCTTCCAACATGGTCGCTTCTCGAGCCTCTCGTTGATAAACTACAAACGTTCCTTCTCGAAAATTCAGACGTCTGAGAGATTCTTTTGAGACACGAGCATAGATCTTTAGAACGTTCTCTTCTGGAATCACCGTCTCGATAGTCGCATCAATTTTTCCACACATTCCCTCGAATCTAACTCTATTACTACAGTTCCATAGTCCTTCTGTTGGATATTTCAATGGATTTGAGATTGAGAATTTGACGCCTTCCTCCTCTTTGACTGGATTTAGCATTGGAAACATTCGACTGTCGGCTCGACCGTCGGATAGGGTCAAAACAGCGGATTGTCCCATTTGGGTGCACAATTCGGTGATTTCTTCGGAATCTGTAGATTGCTTGAATGCGTCTTTTCTAATGTTGAATTTTTGAGTGAGTTCCGGAGATAGCTCATACTTATAAATGGTTGCAAGAGCATTTGGACAGGAAGAAAACCGAGAGGAGTACTCGAGAAGCTTCGATTTGACCTCCTTTTTGTAGTCGTAACTGATTCTGGAGGCCAGTTTCGTTGGAATGAAGGCAGATCCAGTGTAAAGACTCTCCAAATCGATGGGAGAATTGTCATTCAATAGAACGGCCGCCGCTTCGTTTTTGCCTGAAAAAAAAACCATCAAAATTCAAATTTGGATAAAAATAATCTGAAATTAGTTTAAAATTGCCCAAAATGCGTTAAAAAATTTTTTGGACCATTTTTGACCAATTTTGAGTGAATTTGGGATAATTTTTCAATGAACTTCAGGTTATTTTTGATGGATTTTTAACCATTTTCATCGAAATCCAAACCCACCTTTCACAATCGCCGAGCCACACTTCATGAAAGCAAAAACGGTTCGATGAACCAATTTTCTCTCTAAAATTCTCATTTCCGCCACTTCCCAAATCATCGTCGAGTCCGGATTCATTTTCAGAGCCTTCGGTGGGTCCAGTGGCTTTTTGGACATCTTTGAGAGCTTCGTGACAGCCAAAATATCTCCAAGGAACAGTTTTCCAACAATGCTGAACTTCTCAAATCCGTCTGTAACTGTTCTAGCGTTGACTTCAACAAATCGAAGGTCTCCTCGATGGAATCCATGTAGATTCGTATGACATGCCATCAGAACATACTTGTCTTCGTGCTCAGAAACTACACGATAGTAGGCACGAATGCTTTGAGTGGCGTCAAATTTAAAAATGCATCTGCTCGGAGCAAGCTGAGCGTCTAGAGTTGGTTCTAGAACTTTCCGCTTTTTGGAAGTCTCCTTCGCCCATTCCAACGATTTCCCGGCGAAATTGATGGCATGTCTGTGTGTGTACTTGTCGATTTCCATTTGTTGTGGTCCCAAATCCTCGGCTTCTCCGTTCGATCCGGTATCCCTTCGTTGGCGAACATCGAAGAAGTAGAATCTACTGAAGGCGTTGGAATCCCATTCGTTAGGGATCTGAAAGTAGACGTTTCTAGAATTTCAGACTTTTTAGAATTTCAGATTTTTGCAAAACCCGAAAAATTCAATTTTTTTTAATACGAAAAATCCGAATTTAGAATTTTGCAAAAATTGCATTTTTCGAATTTTTCGAAACTCTGAAGATTTTTTTAATTGAAATTTTTGGGATTTTTCGAAAACCGGAAATATCGGATTTTTCAAAATTTTTCAAAAATTCGAAAATCCAGATTTTTTCAACAAAAAAAACAAACCTTTTTAGCATCTCCGGCTGCTTTCGACTGATTTTTCTTCAAATTTTCCGGCTTTTTACTGAAAAATTGACATAAAAATTGAATAAAATTCAGGTGAAATTTTCTTACCCACGATTATTGACTCTAGGCGTTGTAGTTCGATTTCGATTTGAAAAAAAAATCGGCATTTTCGGGTCTGAAAATATGCTTTTAAAATATTTTTTCGAAAAAATTAATTAAAAAATAAGGAATTGAGCGGAAAATTCAGAGAGAACAGCGATTTTTATGTATCTCTTTTTTGTAATCTCTTTTTCTCGCCTCTCTCAATCTCACATGCTATTTCTGTTACCCGGCGTTGCATTGCTCACTCTTAATTTAGTTTTGTTCCAGTCAGCCCCTTTTTTTGTTATTTTTTTTAGCACAAAAAATAGTGAGAAGAGGATTAATGGGGTTATTCATGTAGCGAAAATATGTATTGAAATGCATTTCCGCGGAAAAGAGTTTGAGGATTGCAAATGATGATAAATTATTCTAGAAAAATTTTTTCGCAAAAAATATAGCTTATGAAATTTCAGGAATTATGGACGTAAGCCTGCACGACTCGAAAAAAGCCCGAAAAATTGCTGCAGCTGTTTCGTTATTGAAACAGCAAGAAATGGCTATTTTAGCTGTCACACGACCATATGAAAATCCAATGGAGGTTCTGAACGTTATCAGAAAGGATCAGTTTGATCTTTTCTTGAAAACGGTCAACCTGTCATTGAGCACAAACCAGACGGAAGTGAGAAAAAAAATATACATACAGGAAAGAAAAGCTCAAATTTCAGTTTTTTGTTGGCGTAAAGCGCGAAGCGTTCGATCATCTTCTATCCCTCTGCCGCACTAGAAATCGCGAAATCTCTATTCCAGCCGCTTCCTTTTTCTGAAATTTGTCCGAGAAGGTAAAAAAAAAACATTCCCGTTTTTTTTGGAAAGTTATAATTTAGGCAGAAGTCAAAATTCGTTGTCAAAAGACATCGGAATTTCCCAGGCTACCGTTTGTCGCGTTGTCAACGAAACAATGTACGATATCCTGGCTACAGCTAACACGTACATTAAATTCCCCTCGACAATCCAAGAAATTGAGGCGCTGGAAAATGGCTTTTCTGCAAAAACCGATTATTTGGGAAACAATAGGAAGATCCCTTGTTTTGGATGCTTTGACGGAAAACACTGGGCTACGGAACATCCACCGAACTCTGGAAGTTTGAATGCCAACTACAAAGGCTACTTTAGCTTTAATAGCTTGGTTGTGTGTGATTCGGATACTCGAGTCTTGTTTGTGCAAGTCTAGGCGTTAACAACGACGCACAATTAACGAAGGAAGGACCGTTGCCGGGGATGTTGGAGGAGGTTCGCGGGTATGCAGACTGCCGCCTTCTCGATGATGACATCACTGTTATGCCTCGTTTCCTTCTGGCCGATAATGGCTTCAAACTAACAAAATCGGTGATGGAACCATATCGGAAGACGCAACTGACTACTGAAAACGTCCTCTTCAACAAAAAATTGAGCGCAGTTCGAGTTCGAACCGAGAACTTGTTTGGAGTGCTCACTTCGAAGTTCCAGGTTTTCGACAGATCTCTGAAGTTGGCTCCTGAGAACGCCCAAGCTCTTATTGTTGCCTTGATGATCGTGCACAATGTTCAACTAGGTCCACTTCTTGTTGACAATAGTCAGCCTTCAGTTGTAGCATATCCCGACCCGTATAAGACTCCTGAAGAGATGAGAACCGCGCTGAAAAATTATGTGTTGAACAATTAGATTAAAAAATAAAGTTAAAAAAAAAGCAAGAACATGAAAAATATAACTAAAGAATGGCTTATGACACGTGATTTTAGAATACTAGATATTTAAATTAATGCAGCTTGAACAAATCCGAATCCTCCTCATTGAATGGTACATATCCCATAGACGGTCCTGGCTCGCTTCGGGGGCAAAGAGTCTGCTCCTCTCTTCTCATTCCTCGTCTTGCGTCGTTATCGGCACCTTTACGGAGCGTCGCAATAAAGGTCACAACCTTTGCTTCAGTTTCTTGTCTTTCCATCCATCCCATTCCATTAGTCGTTTCTTTGAACATTCTACAAACGTTCGGGGAGAAACAGTTTTCCGAGTTTTCACAGTCGAACAACTTCATGACGGCGGTTCGGGTCTTTGACATCTCCTCGACGATTTTTTTGGTCAAATCTGAGATTTTTAGTATGAAAAATCAAATGTTACTCAACTTACCATTCCCAGAATCTCCTTTCTTTAAAAATTTACTTTTTTGATCTTCAGTTTGAAACATTTTTCTTTTCGGTGTACGCACAATTTCAGTAGCTTTCGGTTTCACCACAACGGCATTTTTTGAAGAGCCGAAACAATGGGAGCTGCAAAGAGTTATTATTTCCAAATACAAATTTAATTCTCACATTTTGGGTTGCCTAGCAGCACTGGAAAGAGACAAAAATTTCATATGATCCGAATATAAAAATCTTTCTTTTGTGGCATCAATTCCACTTCCAGATGGCGCATTCAGAATCCTTTTTTCGTGCTTCTCGTATGCCCCTTTCAGTTCTTTCCATCTCGTTTCCGCGATTCGACCACAAGTTCTTTTAGTGTGCTGTAAAAAATCCGAGCACGCTAATTCTACTGCAATCCATCTCTCTGTCTGGACTTCTCGACGATGGATGTCCTTGTGGCATGGATCCCAGAGCTCTTTGTGTGTCTCGACGACTTTGATCAAATAGACGACGATTTTACGATTTTTTAAAGCGATTTTTATGTATCTCTTTTTTGTAATCTCTTTTTCTCGCCTGTCTCATTCTCAAATGCTATTTCTGGTACCCGGCGTTGCATTGCTCACTCTTAATTTAGTTTTGTTCCAGTCAGCCCCTTTTTTTGTTATTTTTATTAGCACAAAAAATAGTGAGAAGAGGATTAATATAAAGAAAATTTATGACAGCCTTTTTGGAAAATTCTAAAATGTTTTTTTTTTTGATTTTTAAAGGCAAAGACTGAAGATTCCAGGCAACTTATACAGAAAAAATGTTAGAAAACTAGAAATTTTTGATTTTTCAAACAGAAATTCAAAAAAAAAATCAAGAAATTGACAAATTTTGAAGCTTTTTTTCTGGAAATTGGTGAAAAAACTCAAATCGAGTCATTGTCTGCAAACACCGAGCTAAGTTTGTGTACTCTTTTACATACCGTAACCCAACATTTGAGAGCACACCAACTGGGAGGAAAAGAAAAAGTG